TAATATCACTTATGTTTCACTGATGCTCCACTGAGCTTACAGCTATAGTTTTTTTTTTAATTTTTTTATTGTTATGTTAATCACCATATATTACATCATTAGTTTTTGATGTAGCGTTCCGTGATTCATTGTTTGTGCATAACACCCAGTGCTCCACGCAGAATGTGCCCTCTTTAATACCCATCACCAGGCTAACCCATCCCCCTACCCTCCTCCCCTCTAGAACCCTCAGTTTTATAGTTTTATTTCAAGATCACAACAAAACCATTAATCTCACTTGCATATTTTACCTCTCCAGTTCTATGGAAAAAAGTGATTTCTTGACCTTAAAACTTGAAGAAACAACAAACAAATAAACATCAAAAATATTGTCATCTTACACTGTCTTATTAAATACAGAAATCCTGGAAGACGGACATCTCTTTTTTCCCTAGTTAGAAGCCTAAGGCAGGAGAAAATTCCAGAATGTCAGAAAAATTAGGCTCTTTTTTCCTTCAATACCTGAGCACTTTAGTGCAGCCCTTTCAAAAAGATGGGAGGGGGGGGACTCTGAAGCATTTTAAACTGTTTAAGTATTTACATGGTAATTATCCCAGTGAGTGAGAGAAAAAGAGGAAACCCCCTGTTCCCTGACAGCCTTGCACTGTGAACAATTTGCTAGCTGCCTTTGCATACATTATTCTGTCCAGACCTCTCAATCACCTCCTTAGAGGTGATCTCCAGGATTGCAAGAACTCCATGTCACAGACGAGGGACCAGATTTTCCGAATATATGCATAGTTTTTCCCACGATGATACACTAGGTAATTTAGGGTATGTAAAGATCCCTTTGTCAGACTTCGAAGGAGGCTGTCTTTCTATTTTACCTTTACTGTAAAGTCTTGAAAAGTGTTGGTAATTATGTGCTACAACTGAACATTAATTATCCAAAACTTCCTTATCCATTAGCACCACACTGTCTCCAGTCCAGTGAGATTTGGAATTAAATCCCCATCCCAAAGTGTCCAAAAAAATCTAATGTCCAGTCTTCCTCTATAAAGTCTACATTATCTCTTACTATCTTCCAGGCAGGGTACCAGTGCCCACTCAAGAAGAGCAATGAGAATGGGTGCAGTTCTCTAGATGAAGCAACCGTTTTCTCCATGTTGGTCTAGTCTGCAGCACTGGAATTCTGACTCACTCTCTCTGAGTTCTGAGGGATCAAGTCATCACTCTAAAACTACCATCTGCCTGCCATAATCTCCTGTGGAGAGCCTGGTACCCTGAGACAGTATCTTCTGCCTTTTCTGGGCACCAAAATCTTCTCCCAGTGGCCTGGCTAGGTACCTCAGCCTGCATTCCTCCAGTCCTGATGCATTGCTTATCATCAAAGTTCCTACATTTCTACAAATCAGAGGTTACAAAGGCCTATAGACTTTAGACAGGTAGTGTAAGTGAGTGAGGCTAGACAGACAAGCTAATGCAAACTGGTGCACAGCTCTGGGGTCCAAAGGTCTGGGGAAGAAGCTGCTATTGTGTGATCATCTGAGAATGTGGGCCCGGTGTTATAGCCTGTATGGATTTTTAAGACAAGACAGAAATCTCAATATTTTATGTAAAATTGGTAACTAATCCAGTGGGGTTTTTTTTAAAGATTTTATTTATTTATTTATTTGAGAGAGAGAGAGAGAGAGAGACAGAGCACAAGCAGGGGGAGGGGCAGAGGGAGAAGCAGGCTCCCCGCTGAGCAGGGAGCCAAATGCCCAGGACCCCAAGATTATGACCTGACGCTTAACAGACTGAGCCACTCAGGCGCCCCTCAGTGGTATTTTTAAATGTTATGGAGATGCAAGACAACTGCCCACAGGTCCTCCAGTTTATGACTTCCGCCTCAGATAATTACTCAGCCCTGGCTTAAAAAGTACAATTCTCATTCTCACAGTCTTCTTCTTCTTCTTTTTTTAATGCTCAGAGTCTTAAAAGTCTTACTTGCAACTAGGAGAGGTGAGCCGACAATATAAATTGATGTCTGAACATTAATTTTGGAAAAATTTGATTACCACATCAATGCATTACAAAAGTAGTCCACTCTAAATAGTATTGGGAGATAATTCTCCATGAGTTTCTCATGTTACTACATCTTGTGAGCAAAGACACTGACAGCCTTTGTTTCAGACAATCTGTTCAGGGATGTTTATATTGCTAACAGCCTTGGAAGAGACATACAGAGTCTCCCTCTAGAGCAATGCTAACTTCCCATTATAAAACATTCAGTTTTCCTAAACTCAGGGTTCATCGCTAGTAGTGTAACCTACTATCCTATTTGTGTCATTCTGTGAAATTTGTGGATCGGGAACCAGTGAAAGTGGTAACGCTCTGGCAAATGTTACTGTTGTGAGTGCTAAGTCCTTGGTCTCTGCCAGGGTTCATAAAACAGTGGCAGACTAACACATTCAGCTGCAAACGGTAAAATCTCAGGTTCTTCAGAGTTCTTGACAACTGATACTAGTTTTTCTTCCACTCTGAATTCTGAGTATGGTAGGTCTCTAAAATCCACAGCCTAAGGGCTCCTGGGTGACTCAGTCAGTTAAATGTCCAACTCTTGGTTTCAGCTCAGGTCATGATCTCAGGGTTGTGGGATCAAAACCCACGTCCGGCTCTGCGCTCAGTGTGAAGTCTGCTTCAGATCTCTCTCTCTCTCTCCCTCTCACTCACTCTCTTTCTCCTTCAAATGAATAAATAAAATCTTAAATAAATAAATAAATAATAAAAGTCACAGCCTAGTGTCTTCTTCCGTACTATTTACCACATTTCCCTGAATCAATATATCCCTATCTTGCTTTTGGAAGTACAGCATTGCCTATTCTCCATTAAAACAGTCATGAGCTCCCATCATTTCAAAAACCCAAATCTCTTCCTATCCCATTGTCTCTAATTCCTTGAGGCTTCCATCTTTACCTTCAGACAACAGCTTGGTGCTAGCAATAAAATAAAATGACGAAGCAGGGCAGTCAAGCTATATACCTGGATTTGAAACTGTGTTTTGCCTCCTACTTGCTGTGTTACTTTGGACAAGTTATTTAATCATCTCAAGACTCAGCTTCCTTATCATATGAAATGAGGATAACAATAGTAATTAACTCCCAGTGTTATTTGAGAATTAAATAAATTTATATATTTAATGTGCTTAGAATAGTATGTGGTATGTAGTGAGAAAGCAATAAATGTAATCAATTATTCAACTGAATATCTCTTCAATAAATTAGTTAAAGCCTCGACCTTAAATGCAGGTTATTTGCGACTTGCAGTCTAACTCTATTATTGACAAGCTGAATGGTGGATAATTCAGGGTTAGGTAGTGCTTGGTCCTTTCTCAATTCAAATCCTCAGCAGTTTAGAAACGTATCATTTTCATAGGTTCTCTCTTCTGAAAAAACAATCTTCTACAAATGATATGATGGACCAAATACTAATCTCCCTCAAGTCAAACGGTAAATGAACAAATATACTGTTAAAAAGAAACCACAGGGCCATAATGGAGCCATTTAAGTTAAGGCCCCAAGTCAGTAAACCAAGACTTAATACTTAACCTAACTGCAGTTTCAACTCTCCAGGACTGTGTAACCTTTAACCAGTCAACATGGGAATTTCCTGGTCAGCCCTAGGAAGTTTACTGATAGACCCCTTCCGTTCCACCTAGGAGGGCAGCCTAGCCTAAAACAATGGATTCTTTGCTAACAATTCTCCCCACATCCCCCCACCCCTCCCATACCTTTGAAAACCTTTCCTTTCCTGTTGCTCAGTGGAATTCTTTTCTGTTTGCTACATGGGATGTTGCCCGATTCAGGAATTATGTGATAAAGCCAATTAGATCTTCAAAGTTTACTCAGTTGGACTTTTGTTATTTAGCCGTACTACAAAGGTTTTTCAAAATTGCCAAACAACTTTCGCACAGATAACTCTGTACACTCAAGATGCCTAAATACCATTACATAAACAGTAGAAGTTTTCTTTGCAGCCTTAATCAAAGTCAAGTCACCCAAATATTACTTGTCTGAAGCAATGTTTCCACTGTGCTGTGGCATTTCTAATGGTCTCAAATAACGTCCCTGCTTTTCTAAGACGTATCCTTTCTATTTTCCTAAGCCCGTGACAATTAAAATAAAAATTTCAAAAGGGTAAAGGAAAGAGGAAAAGCTACAAGAATCTGATTTGATTTTCCTACACTCCCTCCCTATTTCCAAGCAGCTAATCCCCTCTCAAACAATACAATAGAACAGCTAGACATAAAGAATAGGAGATAAAACTGGCCGGCCAGTGCACTGTTCTTGCTAATCTGCACCATTTACATAAGGGTTAGAAGGCTTGTTTTATCATTTAAACAGGCTTAAAAGCCTCTTTGCAAATGAGATTTAGTTCCTACAAAACAATGAATTCTCGCTATTTGGTGAGTTTCTGCTAGACAAGCACTGGGAGCTGACTTGGCAGTAACTTAAGCTACTTCTTTGGCCACATACAGTACATGCAAAGATTGCTTCCAGCTGCCAAAACTGAAAAGTGTCAAGCTGATTAAATTCTTTCCCGGAGGTGAACAAGATGAGGAGCAGGTTAAGAGGCCAATAATATCAGATCTTAAACTATACCTGGGCAGACTCGTCTTTACGCAGGTGCTTTAAAAGTGGCTTTGAACCTTTAGAGCCCTTAGATTCTTCCTTTGAAAGGGAAACCAGTAGGGCAGACAGCAAATGAAATTCAGAGACAGAAAGACTTAAAATTTCTCAAACTGTGTAGTGAGGACAAGCTAAACTCTTTGATTCATTGTTGGTCTGAGTGGCATTGGACACAAGGATAAACTGCAGGACTAACTCCCTCGTCAATGTTAGCACAAAGGATCTTTTGAAGGAAAGGTTGTTGTTGTTTTTTTTTTTTAACACAGAGGAGTTACACCCTTTGCATCAAAATCTTAGATTTAAAAAAATTAAGATTATGTTTATATATACTATACCTATTATTTGTTTTACCTGGCACACCTTGAACAGATGTTCAGTGTGACCTTGGCCTGAGGTTCAGCAGGGTGAGTAGCACGACCTTGGTTAAATTTGCTCCCAGAAGGCACAAGGGTAGTTACTCCCTCCATTCTTAAATCATCAAGATCCTCTGTAACAACATAAACAATTGCAGAGAAAAAATTAGCCCTAATAGAATTAATAAGAAAAGTCCATGTTTTCAGGTATCTGCCAGTAGTTGAGTAAAACATTATTATTTCTGCTTTGCAAAAATATTACCTCATGTATCAGTTATTTTTCAAATCATTTCTAGATGTAGTTGGAGACATATATAAGGAAAGATTTACAGAAGAAAAATGGTGAGAGGCTGAATCCTTTTAGACAATGGGCAGATCATCATCTAGGACCACAGAACATGGATCCACCACCTTTCTGTAACCGTTCAAAGAAACCACACCAAAATCTCTGCTGCAATTAGCCCCAAATGGTCAGGACTTGGTCAGTGACTGCCAGCTTCCCTATTTTTGCCTTTGCTTCCAACTCAGAGCCAACCAAAGAAAGACATATAGTCTTCCAAACTAATTATACAAGGTCATTTGTTTCTAATTAGCTTGCCTTCACAGCTTCCTCATGCAGCAACCTCTATTAAGCCTTCTTTGTTTTCACTCTTAACCTTTCCTTTTTGTTTTCGTGTGGGGAGGACAATATACTTGGATAGTCATGACCAAGGTTCACTGAATCCCCCCCTCCAATTTTTCCCAGGTCCTCAATCAAGACTTAAAAGATCTAAGTTTCCCTTGCAATTCAGTCCTGATATAATATGTCCATGATCTCCTGTTTTATTCAGAGGACAAGGGCTCTGGTAAAAAGGATTCCATTGATTTGTTCTTATTTTTAGCAAAAGAGGGACATAAAGTTTTAAAAGATAAATTACAATTTTGCCAAAACATAATCCATTATTTGAGGTTATAACCTATATAAAGAGGGAAATCACTCTTTCCTGATAAGGCTATAGACTATCCAAACATCTTAGACCCCTCACAAAACAATCAAGAGTATTTCTGGTTTAACTGGATATTGTAACCAACAAGTATCAAATTTTCCTGAGATTGTGACAACTTTTAGTTTAAGTCATAAACAGGCTTTCTGCCATCTGAAGACTTGTCAACAGACTCCTTCCAATTAAAATCTTTTCTTCTACTTGCATATGAGCAATCTGGGCAAGCCTATGGAATCTTAACTCAATTTCATGGGCGTCGTAAAAACTTACCACCTGGACCTGGTTGCAAAAGCTTCTTCCCCTTGTTTTAAAGGCAGCAACCACCACTTCAAAACTTGGTGCTTTTGCTGAGCTAGTTATATAGCCTTGTCTCTTGATCTTATGGATCTGTGTTCCTCATACAACACAGACATTACTGCCATCTGAGAACACAGCACTTTTCAGCGAGCTATTTAACCTCCATGAGACTCTGTTAGTGTCTCATCCTCACATTACTATTTACCACTGCAACACCTTGATATGCTGTTCTCCTGACCCTACCAGGAGAAGAGAACCTCATGATTTTCTTAGCTCAGTTAGGGAACTTACTATACCCCATTCAGTCTTTTTGAAGCCTCCTGTTGAAAAATCTGACCTAATATTATTTGTTGATAGATCATACCTCAAAACTTCAAACTGGAGCAGAATATGCTATTACCAATTTAAGCTTGACTTTGGAATACAGTCCTTTACGTGAAGTAAAATTAGTCTAGATGGCAGAACTACTGCACTTACTTGAGCTTGTCAACTAGACAAAAGACCACAGAGTAAATATATAAACAGACACACTTTAAAATATATGCATATATATGAGTTTGGGATACTTTGGAAACAAAGGGGTCAACCCTGTTGGAATCCCCATCAAAAATGACAAGATGTTTAAGATCCTTTTACATGCATTCCTTCTTCAAAAGGAGGTAGCAATTGTAAAAGTTGGGGCTCATTAAAAAAAGAAATAATATGGGAGCTAAAGGAAATAATCTCTAGCAGATCACTTTGCCAAACAAATGGCTTTAACCAAGGTTTTGATCCTATCTAAACTCAAACGATAAATCCTTAAAGGAATTCAAAGAGACCGTTATAAAATATCAACATTTAGTCCCTCATTTTGGAAAAACATAAAATGGAAAAAATGTGGTTCTAGCTTCATTTGCCTAATCTCTGGTACTCTCAAAACAGTGCTTTGTGTCACTAGATGGTTTCAAATGTATATTAGCTAAATTTCTCCATGAAACTACTCATCATAGCACAGATAAATTGGCTATTATCTTAAATTTACATGACTGGGTACACTTTAAAAAGAGAGCTGAGGTATTTTTTAAGTCACATGGACTTGTCACCAGCATTAATTCTAGAAAAACTGTAAATGTGGGACATGGCCAGACCCAAGGTTTCAAGGGTCCTTTGAACACCTTCTGATGGATTTTATATGGCTTCCACTTTCCATGAGATTTCTCTGTTTTAGTTGTTGTATGTCTATAGAATTTCAGGATAGGTTGAAACATTTCTTTGTCGCAAAGCTACGGTCTTTACAATTGCTAAAAATCTGCTCAATTCTGTGTTTCTAACCTTGGGAATATAAACTTTTATATCAAGTGACCAAAGCACACCTTTCACAAGAAATACTATTAAAAGAAATCTGTAAGGTATTACCCCTTTTTTCAGAAACCATGTTGCTCTTACCACCTACAAACTTCTGAGAAGGTGGAAAGAATCAGTGATGTCCTTGAAATAAAACTAACAAAGCTTTCAGAAACCCTTGAGCTCTTTTAGTCAAAGGGACTCCTACTCACCCTTAAAGCAGTAAGGTCTGCTCTCTCAGGGACATACTGTTTGCTTTGCTGTGAACTGGTAACTGCAAGGTCCACGTGTTTAAGGATTTTACCTATGATACTATACTCGTGCACATAGACATCACAAAATATTACAGGTTAAGGGTACATTCAAATAGTCTTCTTAAATGGCCTCTTTATGATATTCAGCTATGAGGTTTCATCTGTTGGAAGATATATCAGGGAAAAACTGCTCTTGAGCCTCACTGGAAGGAATTCTATCAGATATTGTTAGCAACAGATACAGAAGTAAAACTTCCTGGAATAAGTCCTTGGGTTCACATTTCATGACTAAAGAAGCAATCCAGAATCAACCAAATTGGAAACCTGACCCAATAGGGGGACATCAGCTGAAGATTCTCAGAGATTCTCTAGAAGCAGTTGATCTTCCCAGTAGACAGATGACCCAAGACTCAACTTTAGAATAATTCACTCGAGGTGGTGGACAGCTCCTGCACAAGATGCGGGATCAAAACATTTGCCTAATGCCTATTTTGTTTTTATCTGCTTACTTATAATCATTCCTCATTTTCTAGAGACCCCTGGTTACTGCCCATGCATAATGGCCCTTTTTCTTTTATTTCCCTCTTACTAAAATTAGATCAGAGCATAATCATTATAACACCAATCTCAGATTATCCCAGCAATAGCCTTCAAGTTTACTGATTGCTGGATATGCTATTCCTCACTACACCCTAATGATGAAAATCTGAGGGAAATTCTAATCTATGGAAATGAGATCAAAGGGAATTATAACCAATGGTGTTTTCACTTGTACCTACAGGGACAAATGACCTTAAACAAATCAATTTGTGACTCTGCTAGTGTCCCTCTCCTTTTCTGTAAGAGAGGGACTCTAGCAGAGTCACAAATTGATTTATTACCGGAAAAGAGAGGGACCTTCCTAAATTGATGGACCAATTATTTGTCATCTGGACTAAAAGAAATACAAATATGTAAGCCAGCCAATGTAAGGCTTTTGTTCTAACCTCATGTCATAAATAATTCCTTTTTTCCTGGATATCCATGTGTTCCTACCAGATACTACTTTCTTTGCAGCTGGGATAATTAGTCTTGCTTGTCTCACTAATATCTCATGCACTTTAAGAATAGTATTACAAAATTTATCTGTACAAAGACACTCTAAATCTATATATCATCAAATCTGGAAATTACAATCGAGACAAAAGCTCCAAAATGAGGCTACCCTTGATTATTAAAGCACATTATCTACAGGTTACCAATTTAGAATTTATACAATCAAAGCAGTGTTTCCAATAGTAAGAATCATACAAACAAAAGACTATAAGACATGTGGCATTATAACTTTGGCAGAAGTTATAAAATTATACCACTTATAATCTAGTTGGAATATAGATCAATCTCAATTCCTTGGCAAGAGGAGTAATAGACAATTTAGATTTCTTGTTCACTAGTCATGATGGTATCTGTGCCATTTCTAATACTTCTTGCTGTACTTGGCTCAATGAAACACATAAGTTAGAGAAGGCAATATATCATCTTAAGGAAAAAAGCTATTTGGCTCTGTAAGATTGATCTTTATGACCTGTGGGATTATTCTTTTGGCCTTGGTTAGACATTCAGGTTTCTGGTTCTGAAGAATCTTAAATGGAATTTCAATTATTCTTGTTTATGTCACAGTGGTCATGATACCAGTCCATTTAACTTTATCACTTAATACTTAGTGCAAGTTTTAACTGCTTCTATTAGCCACTTTCTTACCAGATGATCACCATAATGATACAACATCAAGAAGATTAAGAAGCCCTTGTGATACAATTGATTATGGAGACAAGTGAACAATCATCAACAATCATCTGAAGATGTGGATCTTTTGGTCAACTTCCTGAATAAAAGAGGAGACTTAAGGACTGAACATACAGACAGTGTAAAGATCATACAGGACATTAGAACACTATCCACAACCTCTGTTGGAATCAACCAGTGAAGCCTCAGCAGCAGTTAGCCCCAAAACATTCAGGACTTGATTCATAAAGGCCAGCTTTCCTCCTTTTATCACCATTTCTAAGTCAGAACCAATCAGAGAAAGTCAAATATGCTCTCCAAACCAAGTGCATAAGGCAGTCTGCTTCTAGTTAGCTTGCCTCCAGGTTCCCCATGCCAACAGCTTCGAATCAAAACATACCTCAAGCCATCCGTCCACCCCATCCCCTCCCGCAACAAACAGTAGACTCTCCATGCCAGAATTCTCTTTGTACTTGTAAATTCAAGAGGGATATTTCATAAGGCCTTTTGAAG